GGGACTACATTGGGCCCGGGGAGATAGGAAGAACAGGATCTAGAGGGATGAGGTGATTGTAGGGTTGGTGGCAAGAAGTTGGATACCAACCGGATATGTTGGGCATTTGTCCAGCGTGGGACCTGCTCATGCTGTTTTTGCCCTACGAGATTCTGTTGACCTTAATCCTCTCTGAATCAGTCCAAGTGGCATTTTTGACAACAGGGTCATGGTTCCAAGCTCCTTTTCACACAGTTGGCAGCTCTGATCCTGTCCTGTCAGCGCTTTCCTCATTCTTAATTCTATTCATATTCATATTATTTCTCCCTCAGTAGGGTAGAGAAAATACGTTTCATCTCTTGTAATTAAGGATGTCTTACATAAAGATTTCTCATATAAAGAAAAAGCCACAGCATTCACCACTGGGCTTGATAGAGCAAGGTCCTCAGCAGAAGCACGGCTGCTTGTCAAAGAAGATTCTGGCCCTGCTGGCAGGAAGTCCTGAGAGCCCTCCTCCCAGCAAGAGTGTCAGCCTGTACCTGCATGCCTGGCACTGAAGACACAGCTCTTCCTTCAGTCAGCAGCATGGAATACCTGTATTCAAGCTGCTTTGACCTTGAACTGACTGCTGACCAGCTGCTGTCAAATTCGTGTCTAGGCAAACAATATCTGCAGAAACCAGTCTGTGGACTAAACCAGTGCTGGTCAACGATGACCTTTTTACTAATCCAAGGTGATGTACAAATTGTAAAGACAATGTAGCAAGTTTGTTTGTTTGTTTTGAGGAAGATTGGCTGTTAGCTAACATCCTTGCCAGTCTTTCTGTATTTTGTATGTGGGATGCTGCCACAGCATGGCTTGATGAGCAGTGTGGGTCAGTGCCTGGGATCCGAACCCACAAACCCGCCAAAGTGGAGCTTGTGAACTTAACCACTACACTACTGGGCTGGCCCTGCAAGTGTTTTATATAGCAAATTTATTCAGTTGAAAGGACTCTGAGATTGTTTTTACTTATCTTTAGGGTTAGAGGTCTTCTTATTAAAGGTGATAGATGGTTATTTTATTTTTAATGTTCTGTCAAGACAAAAGTTGTCAATTTTTTGTTGGTTCTACAAATTTGGGGGGAAAGTTTTGCTGCTCCATGAAACACTCAGTTTTGGGAACCACTGATCTAAGAGTCTGGTATGCAACCATCCTCTACAGCTTTCTCAACCTTGGCATTTTTGACATTTTGGGCCAGATATTTCTTTGTTGTGGGAGCTGTCATGTGCCTTGTAAAATGTTTAGCAGCATTGCTGGCCTCTACCCACTAGATACCAGTTAACAACTCACCCTATCCAGATCCAACCACTGAAAATGTCTCCAGACATTGGGCAAATGTCTCAGAGTGGCTTGGGGTGGGTGGGTGGGGGCTGTGGTATAAAAAGTTTGAAAGTTACTGTTCCAGAGACATTGTAAATTTTGCTTTATTTATTATTTTCTCATAAGGAATTTTTATTGCAATAAATGACTAGTCATGGCCAGTTGTATGGTGACCATAAATAAATGCAGGTAGCAAGGACAATAGGGCTATATAAAGTATGTATGTATTATTTTACCTTTGTTATTTTTATGCATATATATATACATATATTTTGTCTCACAAAGATGCTGTAAGGCTTAATTGGTATTGACAAAGTATTTAAAAATATCCAACTGAAGCATATTGTAGATAGATACAATATTATTATACATAACAGTATTTTGCATTACTATGTCACTTTTCACTTGAGACTCTAAATCCATTGATTCATTTGTTTCCTCAGTGTATGATTCTCAGTCCATCTTGGGGAAACTGAGGCACAAGCCAATGTTTGCCTGACATAATATAATAAAGTCAGGGAATTAATTAGGTCTCCCATTTCCTTTATAACACGCTAATGATTTTTACTATATTTTTATGTATAGTAAGTATATGTTTAGTGTATATTAAATATATTTTTATATTGTATTTTATATTGTATTTTATTATAGTTTATAATTTTTACAGATGTATATTTCTCTTTGCTAGGCTGGCAGCCTCTTAGAAGTAGAGGTAGATCTTTTTCAGCTGTTTATCTCTCAGAGCCTGAGGGCTGTGGGCACACCGTCATGGGCAGCTGGCAGGCATTAGGGAATGCCAGTTGCATTAGCCCCGTCCTCCAAAGAAACACTTTCATTATAGATTTGTGTTTTCAATGCTGGGCTTTTGGCTGCTATCTGAGATTGTCATAAGAAAAGGAACATTGCTGCATCTTTTGTAATAATCTAGTTATAATACAACTTAAAATATATGGTGGGATAATAAAGGCAGCATTCTGATCTTTATGGGAGCTGATTATCTTTACCTTCATGGACCCCTTCCTTCATAAAAAAAAAAAGTTAAAAATGATACTTTATGACTGCATTGGTATAGACGTGGATATAATCCAAGCTGGATTATATTCTTTTTTTGTGATTTAAAAATAATTAAAACACTCTCGTGGACCCCTAAAAGTATGGCGAGCCCTGGGCACTGTGCCTATGGTGTGCCTAATAAAGAGGTGGGCCCTGGAGATAATACATTGAAATGTTAACTAGTGCTTTGCCCCTTCATTCCTATGCTCATAGGGAGGTATTCTGGTTTTATTGTGTCAAGGAAGAATGACCCAGTTGGCAACAAAAGAGCCAAATTCTTGGCTTTGGGGTTCAAAAACTTGGGTCTTAGGATGGCATCACAGATTTGGAAGGATAGATGAAGAGCTGGGCTTCTCTCCTGTAGCAGATGAGTTCATGTACTGAAGATGGAGGAAACCAGAGAAGTTAAGAACATGCGGATTTGTCCAGGATCTCAAATTGGAATTAAGACTTTGGAAATCCTAGAGCAGATTGGACCTATCACTGCCTAGTCCTCCATTTCCAGGGTACTGTTTTCAGAGCTGTTGAAGTGTGGGGCTTCTATGTGTCCCCCAAGTCCAGTATGGTGGGGACAGGAAACACACCCCTTCTTGGTGGGCCAGGCAAACAGCTCAGGGACGGCATCTGGCTTTCCAGGAACCTGGTTGGAGAGGGACCCAAGAAGGTTTTTGGTGGGCTAGATAGTGGCGCCCTTGTGGTAAAGTGCCAGTCTACACGAGAGTCTGTGTGGCAGGACTAGGAGGACAACAGAGATCTGCATGGATCCATAATGGAGGGTCACAGGAGAATGAGGATGTTTCCACTGATGCTAGCAAAGAGAGACGATGACGACAAAGATGGATTCTCGGCTTGGTCATACCACACAAACCCTTTAGAATTGGAAGGGATCCAGAATTGACCAAGATTAAGGTTTTTCCTCCTGGCAATATGAGCACTTGGAAAAAAATTAAGTACAATTATGGAAAAATAAAATTGCAATTCTTGCTCATCAGAATTTTTTGAAGCAGATTAGTATTCATATACATAGATGTTTATGGTACTTTACAGTATTTGAAGGACCTTCCACCTTTATTTTTTTTCATTTTAACTCTTATAAAGAGCTTAAAAATTGTTTCTATTGTTTCTGTCCTCATTTTACACATGTGAAAATGGAAGCACAGAAAGGTTAAGCAACTTTCCCAAGGTCACACAGCTAGGCTTGGCTGAACAATGACTAAAACTTATGGCCCCATTTACTCTATCAATCCTGGTTCTTGATGTTCAGTATTCTCCCTAAGGACTTCAGTGAGCACTTCCTGTGAGGCTCTCAAATAATGCTGGTATGGTGCCATAATGCTTTTAGTGTTTTGCAATTTAATGCTCAGATATGAGGAGCGTAGAGGGCTCACATGCTAGGGGTCTGCCGCTCCACCCTGGGCTCTTTTGCTGCTGTGTTCTATGCAGAGCTCTGCGTCTGTGCTTGGAGGTGGGGAGAAAAGAATATAATTTGAGTGTGATGCAGGGGCCCAGCCCCAGTGCAGTGGGATGAGGTGGGAGGCCAGTTCGTAAGGGGCCTCCTAATTTGGATGCTGGGTACCTCATCCAGATTAGTGAATGCTGTTCTGTTTACACAGCCCTGTGCCCACACTCACCACATTGTACATTTTTCTTGTTTAATTATCTGTGTCTCTCGCCAGACTGTGAGCAACTGAAAGCAGGGACCGCGCCAGGCAGGGAGCATCCCCATTGCATCCCCTGAACCTAGCAAAATGCCTGGCGTATTGTAGGTACTTAAAATATTTGCTGAGTGAGCGAACAAATGGATGGATGGATGGATGGATGGATGGATGAATTCTTGGGTACCTCAGTGTCCCTTACACAATCCTAGCCCTGTATCCCTTAATAGCAAGGCCCGTTCTGAGGGGTGTTTAGGTTCAGCTTCCTTTATCTCATCGGAGAAATCTTTGTGAAAATAGCTACTTCTATCGTAGACCACTTCACTTTCTTTTCCTTCCCTATTCCCAAATCCCTCCTTTATTATTATTTCTAACCACCCTTTTAGTCAAGATGTTTGGAATATTTTTTCTTCTTCCATTTACATGTTTTAAAAACTGTTTTTTCTAGCTTATGTTTAATTGTCAGCTTCCTTTATACCCTTTGTAGAAGCAGGAAGCACATGTTATAAATCCATATGAGCAGATACTTCGCTCTCTCTTATTTTGAAAAAAAGTTGTAGTTAAAATTCGTGGTAGGAAAAATTTCTAAAGTGGCAAGTTGCCTTTCTGAGATATTACTGTGTCTTATTTTAGAATTTACTTTCAGTAACTAATTTATATTATTAACTAAGATTCAGTTTATTGGAGTCACTGAATAATTGCTGTGTTGGATAAGTATTGTTTTGTGATATTATTAGGTTTATCACATGTGCTAAGGTGTTTTTAGGAAGTAGGCTCGGCATTACTTGAAAAGAGATGGAAAATAATGTATATGTACCAAATCCAGTAAATTTATAATTAAAACAATGTCACAAATACACTAAATTTTCATTGGGTAATTTTTTAAAAATTTAAATACAGCAGATGATAAATAAGCTTTATCCCTTAACAGATTCTAAATTTTTTCTTAAGGCACCATGACAGAGAAGCTTATCCCAAAGATTATGATATAGAGGGTCCTGAGGAAGTAAAAAAACTGTGTAATTCAACGTATTGGCGATTTGGAACCGATGAGCCCCCAGTAAGTAGCTGCTGCTAATTCCTTTCGGTCTGGAATCTTCCTCCTAGTGAAACATGGAAAAGGAAAGGGAGGAGCACTTTGTCAGTGCCACCCCTCTCGCAGTTACTCAGGAAGGCGACTCAGCCATTGTGTGCTTCAGCGACCTCACCTGCAAAATGTGTGCATTGCATAAGGTTATCAGGGAAATTAGATGAGATAAAGCAAATAAGGGGCTAAATCAGTGTCTGGCACATACAAGTGCTCAAAAAATTATTACTGCGATTGTGATGCTGCTGCTGCACCTGCAGCGTCTCGTTGGATGTCTCTTTTCACTTTCACAATAACCTTGTGGAGTAGGTATTATTATCTCTATTTTACAGACAGGGACAAACTCCTAGAGGTTAAGCAACTCACTCAAAGTCACGCAGCTAAGGAGTGGAAGAGTGAGAGTTTGAACCCAGTTCTTTGATTTCCAATCTTTTGTACTTGCCTTAAGGTGGTGGCGTCATGAGGAATTAAAACAGGCTACTAATATTCTCATAACGTTTGTACAACCTAGTTACAAAGCGAATATTCATTGTTTAATTTCTGTTTGAATTGCTGTCAGTGGGTTACTGCTTGGCTATTTAGGTGTCTGTCCAATCAGCATGAGGCAGGAGCTCAACTCCCCAAAAACCTCCAAATTGTGTCCTATAATGTTAAGAGCTTTGCGGATAGTTGAAGCCTCAGTTTAGCCTTATAGGATGGTCTTGGGGCCCTTGGAACTGGTAATTTGACAAGGATGGATGTGAATGTGTTGAGAAGACTGGGTTTGTATCACATTCTGCCATCAAAAGCTGGGCTAGTTTGAAATAGGGCAGGCCTAGGAAGATCCATAATTCTACATTGGAAATGGTTCTAGAAGATTTTCTGTTCTCCAAGGTTATGGGAATGAATTAGCTTGGCATGGTCTGTGACTTTTCCTCCCTTTCTCAATGAACAGAGAGTAATATGGATAGCGTGAAAAATGGGGACTTATTATAAAGATACAGCTGCCTGGATATGTGGAACCAGGAAACTTACAGGAACAAAACAACTTTAAAGCAAGACAACTCTCTTTCTCTAACACACACACACACACACACACACGCACACGCACACACGCACACACGCACACACACGCACAGTCTCTCTTGGCATCTCTATTTCTCTCTGCTCCATTGTTCCATCACCCCACAACCCAAATCGCTGAGCCATTCTGATGGTTCCCTCAGTTTCCATTCCACCCTGCCCTCTTGCCTTTGCCTCAGGCTGCCTCATTGATCATTAGCCAGTGTCTGATGGGGCTCTTGAGTCTGATGCCCAACTCAGTCAATAGCCACCCTGCCCCACTGCCCCAAATCCAGCTTAATCTTGCTTTCTTGAAAATGAGGCTGTGGTCAGGACAAGAGCAAGTTGGACAAGGCAGGCATTGCCTGGCATGCTCTTAGCATCTTTGTCCCTTAAAATACATTTATTTTTGGTCCCTAAATGAAAATGTTCTTTGTCTCTGGGTTGTGGGAGGAAGTGAGATGAAGTGAAATATGAGTTGTAGGAACCTCATACATTCACTCCTTACATTCTATGCATTATAACAGTCAAGCCTCAGGTTTAATAGAGGATGTATAAATATAATAATATTTACCTTCTCGATGACTTTTATTCATGGTCATTGAAATCTTGTCCTTTCTCTACTAGTTTTGTAGGATGTATTAGATAGGAAGCAAAATAGATCAAGGAGTCACTGTTTCTGATCAAACTGCTATTCTCATATCTTGATAGTAAGTTACTTTTTTTTTCTATAGACTTTTCATATATAAAGTACTTGTTCATCCTTCTTGTTTCTTGTTCTTCTCAACAAAGTTATACGGTTGACAAGAAAGATATTATTATTCCAGTTCTAAACCTAGACTCACTGATCTTAAATGACTCACCTGAGGTCCCAGGTGAAACAAGAAGGAGAGGGATAGAGGTCCAGAGCCTCCATACCTTCATGTCAGGTGGGATGCTGGATGTGGCAAGAAGACGGATGAGTTCCTCTTTCTCTTGTCACAGGGTTTTGATAGAGGCCTAAACACTAGAACACTCTTGATAGTTGGTAAGAACACACATCCTAGAGCAAGATACTGAACCACCTAGGCAGGCCCTACTGAGATTCTAAACTAGGTCAAGCCAGTATGAGTGGTTACATCTTTGAAGACTAGAGTCGAAAGAGGATTTATTTAGTTACTGATTGTGTGTCTCCTCTTCCTCAATTGAGAGGGCTTTCAAGGGAACCATTCAGAGAGATCAATATCTGTGCCCTGGAATTTAGAGGACATAGGGTCCAGGCATATGACACAGACCTGAGAACCTAAAGGTGTGAGGTCATGCCTGATCTGACAGAGCAGAGAGGGAGAGAGAGAGACCGAGAGAGAGAGAGAGAGAGCAAGCAGTCCTTGAAGCAGGGATGGTGGTGGTCAAGGATGTATGAGTGTGTAAGTTTACCCCTTGGACCTACTGAACAGAATTTTCTAGAGCACTCTTGAAAGAGCTGCCTAGGGTAGGAGCAGGGGGCAAAGAAACCCAGCACAAGAGACTTACCAGATACCCAAAGCTCAGGAAAGGAGTTACAATCAGCCAGGAGGAGAAGCTTTGCCTGCTTCCAGCAAGCTGCAGTTGGAGGTCCTAGTAACAGAAGCTCTGGAAACAATTACAAATGTGTCCCATGAGAAAAGTCCTTTTTGAATGTCCTCTAAGTCCAGGGCCACTAGCACAGGGCAAGAGAATAAGGGCCACTTAACACTATGGCTTTTTGCCTCACATCCTCCCATTAGCCAGACCTGGGAGAGGCCTATGGGGGTGGTGGTGGGAGTAGATGAGAGAGGCCCAGAAGGGAAACAGCACTTGACCAAGGCCCCACCTGCTTCAGGCTTCCAGGCCTAAAGCAGGACCTAACTGGGAAGGAGAGAAGCTTAAATCTAGTACAGGTAAATGTTTTGATTATTTGACTGTACTGGAAAATTTCATAACTGAAATGAGATCCTTCTTGAGATTGAGGGGCCCAGAAAAGCTATGGGACTTGCCTAAAATTTCCATTAAGCAAAAGGAAAGAACCAGCCATCCATGTGGGATGGAAGGAGCAGCTTGAATAAAATAAAGTTGCTTCATGATTGCATCCTACTGATGCAGTAGGAGCAATTCAATAAGGCAATTACATGAATAGGGACTCATTTCATCCTCTGGACAATTCTTCAGGCAGGTACCACACAAGAACTGCATTGTGTAGATGAGGAAACTGAGGCAAGTGAAGCTTAATCACTTGTTCAAAGTCAAACAACTAGCAAGTATTTTAAAAATTAAAATCCATTTTTCTCCTCTGGTTCCGAAGTCTAAGATCTTAAATGCTTTTCCAAACTGCCTCTTGGAGAGCCAAATTGCTCCACTCCCAGCCTGGTGGGCTTTTTACCCCATGACACTACATCATCCTCCTTGCAGAAAAATGGACCTGATTTTTTTCTTTTTCACTCTGGCTTGGGCATTGTGTACATTTCACTGCATATGTATTGAGGCTTTGATTTCTTACATCTTAGCTATAACCTCTGTCCAGTTTCCTAAAATTATGTCACACATGTGCTGGCTAGCCCTATTCCCATCTGTTTCCCCTCCTAACTGCCTTCTTAGTGTTTTTGTTCTTTTGCAAGATTGCTGCTGAGTAATTGATTCCTATGTCCACCAGTGTTTCTGTTTAGCTGGTTGAAGGTCTCCTTGCCCTTAAATGCTGCCACTGGGGCTAATGTGAGCATCATTTATATGTACCAGGATTTAAAATGAAACTTTGTTTGTCTACATTTTGGCTGAGACTCCAAAAAGCCAAGAAAAGAACCATAGTCCATGTGCCAAAGTGAAATATTCAGCCACTTAGGTGAGACCTTCAAAGAAGATGGTGCCCTTAGGCCACCACTCACATGAAGGATATAAGAGGATTGAAATCCAAGAAGCCAAAAGAGGAGTTTGCGAGTAGAGACAGGGTTTTGGAAAAGATGTGCTGTAAGTGTCAGCTGAAAACCACCTTTGATGCCTGATGAAGTTACAGCTACAAGGCTCTGGGGATCTGTCTGAAGCAGTAGAGCAGAAAGAGGGGAACTAGCCACGTGTACATCAGTGGTGGAACAAGGATGAGTGAGTGGTCAGGCCCATATGTGGCTTTTGGGGATCAAGTGTGGGCCATGTGGAAGAGAAAGATAACATGGAGCCAATTCAGAGCCTGCCCAAGAGCCCCTCAGTTAGGGATGGGAGGGGAATCAGCTGGATTCCCAGGGGCTGAGGCAGGACATTTAAGTCCAGCCAGTGGCATCCTGTGTCATGGAACATGCCATTGAATGCTCCGAGAAAGGATCTACCAGAACACCCCAAGAAAGTCAACTTTGAACTTCTACCAATGCCAGAGAGCATCAGAGACAGCCATGCCAAGAGGAAACCAAAACAGGATGACTCTTCCACCTTTCTTGCCTTTACCTCTCTCCTTCCTCATATCCCCATACCCTTGGCTTCAACTCCCAAGGAGCCAGAGGGAGTTGGGGAGTAGGGAAAAAGTTCAAGGGGGACAATTGGGAAGAAGTCAACTGTGCTCCCCTTTTCCACTGAGGTAGTCCAAGCCACAGCAGCCCAAGGTGAAGGAAGGAGAATCTTTCATTTTAAATGAAGTGTGAGATTTAACTAGTACCTGGGGCTGGGTATTTTACTTACCTCAATAAGACTCTGGGACAGAAGTAGCCAGAAGGTTTTTATGTTATCTGAGAATCACCAGAAGAATCCTTGGACCTGTCCTATATTTCATTAAGGAGCATAGGAAAGAATTAGACCTCCAAATGATGGAGGAAGAATAGATTCGTTTTCTGATTGTATCTACTTACAAGTCCCACTTGTTCAATGAGCCAGTTGCCCATTTGTATATAAAAGAGCAGCCCATTCACATCATCACTCTCTATCCCCTTCCCTTACGTTAGTTTTTTTCATGGCAA